TTGTTCTTAGTATTGCGTGTTTGGAAGCAAGAGCTTTCCACTTATTTCACGGAAACTAAGTTCTTCTGGAACCTATGTCTCTTCTATGACACTATGCAGGCTCTTGTGACGGTAGCAACTATTGGATATTAAGGTCTCCCTAAGTTCATTTAAAGTAGGGAACAATGTTGCAATGACGCCAACGGCTGTTTGTACAAAAATATCAGTCTTAATAGCTTACTGGCCTGCGCTTGAGCGCTAATATCGTTTATTAATTAAGTCATCGAGCCATTGGGTATGATATTGTGATGTTATCTTCTAGATGTGAGTTTTAATAAAATATTTCGTTGAATTCTCTACTTGTTTTGTTGCTTAACGGTAGACCTTGGCTATTTCAAATGTCAAAAGAAACTGCAGTAAATGTCTCGTAGTATTTCATTCCGAAGAGTCTACTGACAATAGAACTTCTATATATTCAGCATTTATTTTCGCAGATTAGGTTCAAAGAGTGCCTATAATGTTTTTTGCTTAGGATAGTCAAGGACACTTAAGGCCTTTGCTAAATATTCATCACTAACGACAAAAGCGATAACAAGTTTATTAGATTTTCGTTTCCTAGATAGTGGGTACAAAAAAAAAAAAAAAATAATTTAATTAAACAACCGTTGACATTTAATTAACAGTTTTATATGAGAGAAAAAATGAAATAACGTGGGCGAGTGTTTTCAATGCCCAATAACTTCAAAGCAATATTTAATTGATCTATTAGAGCGATATACAAATATATCGATATATGGATTATTAGCGATGCTGATATCTATTCCTACGTGTTTACATATGCATGTAACAATAATCAATTTCCAGGCAGTTTAAATAACATAGAAAAAAAAAAAAAAATAAAAAAAACCTCAAATTACAAAATGATGCAAAAGCAAACGTGGGCTAAATGTTAATGTACTTAAAAGCCGGCGGAAATTTGTTTAGTATTGAATTTTCTACTTGAATGCATTTTAAAATTATCATAACAATAATAATAATTAAAGTGGGATGATCAAGACATTTTTTCATAATAATCGCAGATGATCTACCGTTTCGGTATATATGTATACATGATTAGACGAATCAGCCTATTAAAGCTGTCAATACAGTATGCAAGCATTAAATAAATAATGCAATACAACAAGGAATACAACTATGAATAACTAAAGCACACTAGTTATCACTTCTTAAGGCTGAAAATTTCGAAAAATTTTCCAATCTATAAGAGTTTACGATAGAACAAAGTCATTGCTTAATGTAGTTTATCGAAAGTAAATGAAATTCATATGCAAACATGCGATTTAACACTAGACCTACCGTTTGGGCCAATTTGACTTTTCTCAACTATTCGGCTACAAAAAAATTATTGTAAAACCTGTGAAGCTTCAAAACTTTTGTTCCTCTTTTAATAAGGAAAACTCTTTAAACGGCTGTAAGATGCCGATGACGCGTATCTGGTTAAGACCTTCAGGTAGGTATACGCAAAACGTGAGAGGGTCGAGTGTTAAAAATTGCAATCATGGACAATCTAACAGTCTGACTGGTATAGTTTAAAAAGTTATTGACTGAAAACAGTTTTTGTGGTAAACGAAAGCACAACTATTTACACCTTTCGAATGTATTTCGATACCTTGCTCGCCGTCTTATTATGATAAGCTCTTTAGCTTGAGTTTTCTTCTTGATAGATAATATTACTTTCCCAAAAAAATGGAAAGTTAGATGGAGAGTGTGGTAGTTGTTCGTTTATTGGGATTAAGCTTTGCCTGAACGTTGCCTTGTTTCGTACGTTGAGATGTTTCATTACTGCAAAATTGCAAACCGAATGATATGAGCAAACTTCATACATCCTCTTTCCTCACAAATCACATCTGTAAGGCTTACGCGATAGCTCTCAAGCTTTGCCTTCTTGATTTCATTAGCATTCTCCTAGAGTTTGTATGTGGTGAACACAAGTCAAAGGCAGACAAATCATTCTTCTCGGACTGTTAGGAAGTTTTTTTCCGTTCGTATATTTGTGTTTTTATTATAAGGGTAGATCCCCTAGTTAGCTTACAACATTTGCAACGATTTGAACCTGAAAATTTTTATTAATATATATTGTGCCGACTGTTGTTGTTGTGTTTTCGATTGCAAAAAATCACAAAATTCTTAGTACAATTTTAAGGAGAACGGCTGCTTTATAAATAATAGGTTGTTAAGAGCTGAACTGAAAAAATGCATTTGCATCTCGAGCATTGCTGCAATAAAGTAATAAACTAAACAAGTAGAACATATGGCTTACGTTGCCTTACTGAAGCAAAAACTGACTATTATGACATTAGATTTTGTTTAGATAAGCACTAATAACGTGCAAAATTTCTTTGAAAACTGATATCTTTGAATCAACATACATTAGCGTTGTTTATAATATCATCGCAGCAATTTGACATCATAAGGTGCCTTAAATATTAACCATAATTTGGTTTTGTCTTCATAAGTGCTATTGTTTTGCTTGTCAATGCAAATGCGTGCAATAAACTGAAAAGTTTCCCATCTACTTGCATTGCTGGATTCAGCTCAATCAAATCATATTTTGACATTTGGTTGCATGATGCACGATACAAAAGCAATCTATATATATATATATACTGTTCACAGCTTAGTCGCGTTCAAATTTAGTAAGCTGGGTGATTGCAGGGTATTGCCAATTTTCAAAAAAAAAAAAAAAAAAAAAGATGGCTTTGTCATCTATACCCAACTTTGAGAAGGTAAATGCATACATCTTTATATGAATACATATGTATGTGGAGTCTGTCCGTTCAGCAACCGAGAGCAGCGATTGGACGCTTGGAGTTACAGCATGATTACTCAGCTCAAGCAAAGGGCTTAACTATGCAATTCATGATGCTGATCGCATAATTTCGACTAGAAGCCAAAACCCTCCTTCAAACTTTTGTTAGCCTGGATGATATTTAAAATTGGCAATTTTCTTAATCCAACTTAGTTCTTGTTCGTACTTTCATGAGATAATTTATTATATTCTACTATTATTCTTATAAGACTCAAACAATTCTACAAACGTTTATAACCATAGGTCGAGAATTCTATTAGAGTTCTTAGATATGAGGAAAATATGAACAAGTGGTTACAAAAACATATATATCACGTTTCGTAGGAAATATTTCTTTGGTACATATTGCGGTAATGAATATGACCAAATGAAATCTTTGAGGTTGGAATGTATTTCTTTCATATGTAAACAAACTTATATAATAGTGTGTATACACAATTTTATTTTATAACTAAATTTATTTTGATTTATAATTTAATGATTTATATAAGATGTACAAATAAATTCCTGCTGTTTTCTAATCAAAAAAATTAACTATATTTGAAATATACTCGTTATAAAGCTTAATAATATTATCTCCTATCTTTAGTCATTTATCGTATAGCTTATAGTTGCCACACTGGTGACTTGGAACCTAAATAGACGTCGAACACTTTTCGAAAGTCTTCAACTTGTGTGAGCTCGACTTGCTAAATAAGACTGCATCCATCTGAATAAGCAGCAAGCGGCAGGGATCAGACCTGATTAATATAGCGGATGCGGCAACCCTTCTCAGCTTAAGTCGGAAATTACTTTTGTTAGAGACGGACGGACTTAGGTGAATTTTCATCACTTTCACGACTAGCATTTTTGCATCCAATATCACGTTCTAACTGTTTCGTAGCTTACTGCACTTTCATTCAATGTCAACTTAATCGTTTCCGTAGCTCAACTTAATCGTTTAGCTGCATTTTTTCTAGATTAAGTCAGTAAATAGCGCAGAAAAGTGCAGTGTCATATATGACATCTTTAAACTGAAGGATAGCTTGTAAGCAAGCGTAAATTACACCTTTCAAACAATATATCTAAGTTATCTTTAACTAAAATTTCGGGAAAATTGAAAGCGTGAGATAAGTTTTATGAAGCGACCAAATTCAACGCGAGCAATTTACTTGTACATCTAATAATTTTTCCCGTTTCTGGATACTTCGTTGTACTTCTTTTCAAAAATCATCGTATAAAAGCAAAAGATTCCCGAATGGCTTAAGCGCAGCGTATTACAAATGGAGCAATGCGGTCGCGTAATGGTTTTTTCGCCAAAATCCACGCAAGCCTTACTGTACATACTTTGTTGCTTTGAATAAAATTTATATTTTATATATATAGTTTGATTGTGATCGTTCATACACCTCATGGATATGATTCGAATTTCAAATTATTTCTCATTTATTTATTTATTTATTTTTTTTTGCATTTTTTTTCAATGGATAATATTAATGAAAATTTCCTTTGAATGAGTGAAATGAAATCGTGATGGTTGACGTTTCAAACAATTTTACAGAATTGCAGAAGACAACTCACAATTTTTGATGCTCTTACATAAGTTCGCATTATAAGAAGTTTATATTCCCATTACCCAAGAAAAGGTATTCAACTTTAATCAAAATTAATTTAATTTAAAAAAAAAAGTGTTGTTCATGACTAAAGTTCGTATGAATAATTATTTGTCGTCAATGTGTTTATGGTTAAAAAAAAAACAAAAAAAATAATGTTCAATATGATTTATAGTTCGGTTAACTTTAACTTTAATTATATAAATCAGTACAATAGTAGAAAGTTAATTAAAGCAGAAAACTTTGAATATTTTGTTTGTTTTTTTTTTATTTTTTTTCTTTGAAATGAAACGAATAAATTGGCACGAAATGTATTGATATTAAAGTGATATTGAAAAGTTAAAAAAAATTTTTTGGTTAAGAGCATGAAAACGTAGTTATAATTAAAATACAGCTTTATCTGTCAACATTAAAATTGTATATATATAAAAAAAAAATAAAATAAAAAATAAAATATAATAATAATGATAATAATAAAAAAATGCAATAACTTGATTGAAACTCGAAATAAGTAACGATTATGTAAAAATGAAAAATAAAATTTGCAAAAAAATATTTACCCGTATGTACCGAATTGATGGAACTGAGATTGTCATCGCTTTCACGACTCATACTGGTTGAATCTAAAAAAATGTTAATAAGAAGGAGAGAAAACAAAAGAAAAGAAAAGAAAAGAAACAAACAAATAACAACAAACAAGAAATAAGCATTCAAATCAAGCAAAACAAAAATTTAAATTAAATGGTAATAAATGGTATGATAATAAAATAAAATTAAAGCAATAAATTTTTTGCAAAAAAAAATTATATAAAATAAAATCGATATCAAATCGAGAACACCTTTTTTTTAAAAGCACTTTCTTCATTTAGTTCATCATTTAGCTTCTTTAAAGAATGCCCACAAACAACAACAAATAGTTCCTTTTAATAGGTAAACAATGCCTTGCATTCATGCATTGCGTTGCCATGCAATTTTTCATTAAGTTAAATTCGCTTAGGGAGAGGATGCATCAACTTGACATAAAAGTCGGCAGAATTTATGCTAGCTTTACTTTTAATTTTATTTTTATTTTGAAGCATTATCTTTGCATATAACGCCATATTTTACCTTAAGTTTACAATAGAAACAAAGAAAAAAGCAATAGAAAGTAGAAAAAAAAACCAAAATGGCGATGAGATACACTTGAAGTTGAGTCTTCAAGCCTTTTTTTGTAGCGATATCACAATTTTATATAATCACTATAGAAAATATTTTATTAGCAAATTGGGTTGAATTAATTTAATCGAAAAGATATTTCTCATCTCGCAACCAGATAACACAAAACCCAATACATAAACATTAAAGTTTCTGATTAATTGCGAATATGTGGGTTTTTGTTCATTAAACTTTTACTTAACGTTTCGATATATTTGAGGAAAGTCTTCGATCAATATCTGTTAATCGTTATGTTGTGTACGTGTCACGGGCAATATTAAATGTTTAAATATTTAACGAAATTTAAGCTTGCGAAAATGACAAAAATTTTAACATAGCTCTGCTAAGCAAAGCCACGAAAGCATTTACATCATGTGGCAGAAATGGAACTTTTTCAAAAAGCATTGTAAACAAAACATATGTAACAAAATATGGTGTTCGTCTGAGTAGCCGAAGGCGAGGAATCTCGACTAGCAAGTCAATGGTCGTGGATTCGAATCTCAAGAGCGGTAGAGTTTTTAGGTAGAGTTTAGTCTTAGAATTTATTTCTCTGGCGAAATTAATAATAATAAGAAAAGATGGTATGGAAAAATCTTTTTGACTATGTTAAACATGAGCTTGAGAAGCGTGAATCAGTGCAGTTTATATTCAGTTCTATTCCTACCATAATTTGCTTAAAATTCTTCTGGGACTTTGTTTAACAGAACTCTGGTAAAGGCTTAACATAGCTCGTTAAAATTTCTGGTTTGTGTTGTGTTCTACTTGCATGTAAATATAACTTTACATCCTTGCTAAGAATACGTGCTATTTATCTTTTATTATAAGGAAAAAAGATATGAGATATATTTATTCAAGCCATTGACTATCGCTAACCATTAATTCTTTTGTCTTTCTAGCAGAAAAGCCCACTTTTTTGGGTTATCATCATAAGCAGTGTTGCTCGCGGCCAAGAAGTCATTGATTGAAGCAATAAGTACCGTTAAATACAGTGAGGACGAGAACACCATCCGATTTAGTATTGCTTACGCACTTGGGACATATGGGGGCGAATGTCATAATACGATATAATAACATTCAGTATATTGTATCTCTCTTTTCAATTCAGTTGCCTCAGTTGTTATCCATAGCTTTCCCGTGTGATGGTCAATATAGTCGCAAGCTCCAAAAAATGATGATGTCAACATTCAGTGAAATAGCTTAAAAGTAGTATTTTTAAACGGAGAACTCACAGTTTTCAACTGAGCACTAACAAGTACTACTGCAGTACTATAGTGCACTAGGGGTAGTGAAGTGCAATGTAGCAGTAGAGTGAACCCTAACAGTAGTAGTTAGTACTATTGTACTATTGCTAAGATGGAGGCAGATCTTCTTCAACGCCCCTATGTATCAGTTTTCGGTTTTCTATCGTCATTTTGTGAGATGACAATCAGACAAAAAGCGGACAAAATATCATGAAAAGAAACTTAAAATTCTAAACTCATTAAGGTTATCTGTCGTTTATATATGGATGTTGATAGCGAATTATTATAGTACATATGAATGGATAAAACTAGTGTATCCGCTTTCTTCTGTAGTGAAAATAAAAACAAAGCCTTCGTTTATTTAAGGTGCGTTGTAAAATACGTTGACTTGCCTTTAAAAAAATGTAAAAAATTGTTAAACGGAAAATAAACGACATTTTTCTTCTTCACTGTACTGGTTTCTATTTTTTGTTTCTGACGTACAAATTGTGTGGCTAATTATAAAATTAATTATTGGAAAATTTCCTACGGTTATTTTTCTTGCCTTTCACAGATTTGATAAACTTTATTATTGTTCAATGCATTATTAGTTTTTGTGTGCCTTTTTTTTTTTTTTTTGATGCTCTCTGCAAGTGTTTTTAGATTAGATTTAGCATAAAAATATATACCTTTATCTTCATCTATAAGCTTTTAGACGAAGCAAGTCAGGCATGCCGTGTCTGTTGACAAGGGGCATTCAATGAAATGGCGATTAACATCTCAAACCTTCTCCTAAAGCAGGTGTGGGCAAATCTGCCTATCTACGGGCCAATTTTAATTTTTGATATCATTGCGGGAGCCACAAACTACATTTACAGCGTTGTCGTGCGCGAGCAAATTGAATTATTGGAAATTTTAAGTGTAGAAGGCTGGATTTGACGCTATTGCGGCCGACGGCTGCCCATGCCTGGTTCAGAAGAAAAATTTTGAGATCCTAACGCTTTTCCTTCATACTCTTGTCAAATGCAATTGCTCGATGGATGCTTCATTCTTCTTTTTTTTCATAATGACTTGAAATGCTAGACTTTTTTAAACTACGAGTCTCCGGTTGGACACTTAATGTTTCCCATAATTAAGTCTTGCGAACATTATTTCATGGTTATAATATTATCTACAAAACGATGTCATGCTATGGACTAGACAAAGAGACTATACTTCATAGTGCATGTAGTTGACATAGAACTTTGCTCTATCTTGCAGTGAAATGGGGTACGCCGTCTAATGGTGAATATTACAAAGAAATATAACTTTTTTTTTTTTTATTATTATTATGTCTCTATTTTCGTTTATTACTCTATTACCTTTTACGTCTTTTTTTTTTTTTTTGTTTTAGCAATTAATGCGCTTTTAATGCAAACTCATGCGCGTGCATTGACATATATGCATGTCATCATGCAATTAAAGTCACTTTTGCCAATATACATAAAAAAGCAAATACAAATGCACAGTGTTTCTTGATAATTTCACTTTAGAAACATAACAGAGACAGCGAAACGATAGTCAAGTATTGTCTGACTTAATAAATTACAATTTTTGGACTACATTTGCAAACTTTCAAGTCATCGGAACTTCGGCAATTAGTATACTCAGAGTTTAGTTAAATTGGTTTAGAATTTGTTTTTTTCAACAAACATAACAGAAAAAGAAACGATTGTTAACAATTAATTGTTCCAATCTACTACTTTTTACTGGATGTTTATTGAGGCAGACAGGTTTTTAGATTGGCACTGTTAGCTATAACTTTAATTCTAATCGTTTTCCCTTTACTAATACATAATATGGTATTTGTTAGTAGGTAGATTATCAGATTCTACTTTTTTTTTTTCAACTTAATTAACTTAACAGTCAACAGAAGCAAGCAAAACAATTCAATTTAAACTTCGGCCAGAAGATAACTGGAGGTCGCGAAATAGATTCGTTGTTAACTGAAAGTTATTAAATAGGTTTGATTTTTATAAAAAATTGCCTTAAGTTATTTTTTAATTTTAAACTTGGGTTAAATTTCCCGGAACTTTTTGATAGCTATCAAGCCATTGATTCAAAGGTTTAGACAGCTAATGGCTTCGATTCTCGAGATCACACACCACTAGAAAGTGTTTCTGTTCGTACTGAGCACGTTGTATAAGCATTTACAAGCATATCTTGCAAATAACCGCAATTAAGTTGAACATGACTTATTTAATGGATAAAACTGTAGCCACATTCAAATATAGCTAAGATTATCTTTGCAAAGCGCGCGTCCGCTAACATAATTGATCTTTCGCTTAAAGCGTTGCATTTTCGTAACAATTTCCTTAACGCGACGTCGTAAAAACGGCGTTAATTTAGCGGTTTACGATTTGCCAAATTGTTTTAATAAATGTTAATGAAAGTCACATATGGCACAAATATAGAGACTATTACGCATACATGAAATATTGAATACAGTATTTCTAGTTAAATGATCAGCTTCAGTGGCACATCGGCTGTCAATCATTCAATTCGAATGTATACCGCAAGATCCCCCATAAAGATAAAGCAGCAAAAGAAAATGATACGAATGCAATAATTTTCTCGTTGTTAATTTCCTATTAACGAAAGTCTGTTAAAAACTTTCTTTAATGTTATTTTTTTATTGAATAACTAAATAGAAACCCACAACAGAGCCATAATAACATAAATTACACACAAACACGAAAATCAATGAAGCAATTACGACAAGTATAATAATAATAATAATAATAATAATAGGAGAAGGAGAAGGAAAAGCATAAAGAAGACATATAAATACCAACCAAAAGCTCTCTTGGAACTTCCATATTCATATACGTAACAACCAACGTAAACATTAATATATATATAATTGAAAAAAAAAAAAAACAACAACAAAAACATCAAAGTATAAATATATAATAAAACTCTTCACATGATATTTTAGTTTATGCTTTATAATCATTCACTAATCACGTCTTTTTATTATGGCCGCTAAAGCAAAGCGTAATACACCTTTCCCGTTTAGCTTAGGGGGGAAGACATATACTCCTTACCCCATGAAGGAAGACCTTTTCAGAAATCTACCTAAAATTTAGCAGATCTTTCTTACTATAACAAGTCGTCGTGGAACAAGTTTTGGGTATGCATTGTTTTGATCGCTTATGTAAAAGGCACGA